CTCTCTTCCTGATATTGTATACTTTGGCAATTCATATATGTTTTCAGTATCTCTTTAACAATGAATCAAATCACTTATGAGGGTCACTGCAGTGTTTCTCAAGCTAGAGTAATGTATGGACTTTTCCCTTTTTTTTTTTGTAATCCTCATTCGAGGACATTTTTACATTTATCTTCAGATAGAGCAGGAGGGAGAAGGGGGAAGAGAGAGACACATCGATATGAGACATATCGACTGGTTGCCACCCACATGGCCCTGGTGGGGCCGAGAACAAACTGCAACTGAGGTATGTGCCCTTAGCTGGGACTCTCTGGACCACGGGCCGACGCTCTAACCCCTAAGCCAAACTGGCCAGGTGGACTTTTCCCTTTTTAAAGGAAAAACTTTTTCAGAAGACCAAGAATATGTCTATGGATTTTGTGTTAAGAAATAATGAATTAGGTCCCATATCTGCCTAAAAAGACAACTAAATCATAATTAGCAGTGAAGAAATGTGACTTATTAAGTTAATATTTGTCACGAAGAATGCAATTTATGCATTTGAAGTAAAACTTCAAAACTCATGAAGAATTGTTTTTCTCTTTTAAAAAATGATTTTTTAAAATTGATTTTTAGAGAGAGAGAAACATCAATATGAGAGTAAAACACTGATCCACTGCCCACAACCTGATCATGTGCCCTGACCAGGAATTGAACCAGCAACCTTTAGGTGCACAGGACAACACCCAACTGAGCCACACTGGCCAGGGGGACTTGTTTTTCTCTTGAATGTACTTTTGGACCGTTATAAGCCCATCATCCTCTATATCAAATAATAGTACTACATTCAAAACATCCATTCCAAACTCCATTTATATCAATAAAAATGCTCTTCCTTGAATAGTCTTGCTAATAGGTGTGCAGTTTTATTATTGTGTTTGAAAAGCTATGAGTTTCTTTAAGAAGTTAATGCCAAAACTCCAGATATTTTTCTTTATTAATAACTCCAAATTTCAGCCAGCTCTCAAGGCCAGCTCTACTCTTAGATCTTGACCAATCCAAATAAGATTGAGCTATTCTGGTTCTGAACTCCAAAGGTATGTAATCTCTATTCTGATTCATATGCAATCACATACACAGAAAAGCTCAGAAACAAGCATACAAATGCTATGATAAACAGGCAGAATACAGAATTATATTCACCTAGAACAGACAATAAAGTAGGTGAGTAGGACATTGACATCAGGGGATTTAACAACAGGAAAAGGACTCTAAAAACTATAGTAAAATGTCTAAAGGTAATGTTGGTAGCAAAAGTAGAATTCTAAGCAAGGAGCTTAAGGGAATCAAATAAGGGAGAAACAAAAGCAGGAGTGTAGTTGGGGCAATAAAAGGGAAGGGGGTGAGAAGTAACAGACATTTCATTTAGTCCTCCCTGCAATTTTACAAAGCTCATTGTTATCAAATAATATTCTGAAGGTCACATAGGTAATAAATGGAGGAATATGATCTAATTCATTACAACCCAGATTTTATGCATCCAGAGTAAAATTAGCTTTAAAATTAGAACCCTGTATATACTGTGTTTTTTCCTAAAAAGCCATAGGGAATAAAGCAAAGTGTAGAGACAAAACTGGACCTGCAGCCAAAGTAACCTGCTGTTGAGCAACTGGCTCAGCATTCTTTAAATTCCCCTTGACTAGAAATAGGGTTGGTTCCACAATTACAGGAGAGAGGGCACTTGAGCAAAAAAGGCTGAAGAAAAATGAAAATGGTGCCCAGTACATATTAATTTATTAATATCTATTGGACCACCCTGGATCTCTCAATGGCTTTATAGGTTCTCTTTTTATTGTGGTCAAAATTAACATAACATAAAATTTACAATTTTGACCATTTTTAAGTATACAATTCAGTGGCATTAAGTACATTCCCAATGTTGTGCAACTATTGTGACTATCACATAGGTTCTTTTTTATACTATTCTCCAACCTTCGTTGAGCTTAGCTCAGTACTATGCACATAGAAAAAGCTCCATAAATACATGGTTAACTTGCCTAGATACTATCATGTCCATGTGACGATAATGAGAGGATGTGGTCTCTCTGGTTATGTTCCCAAGTCATTTGGTACCTAAATGGAGCTTCTGTGAGTCCTTGACCATGTGGTCATGAGAACTCAGTCACCCTGGGAATAGTAATCAGGGGTTCTCTTTTGAGCTATTGCCTAATAACAATCTGTCCTTATATAGATTATTATAAATAGGACATTTGTATATAGCTATGACTATAGCAAAACTCTTTCTGCACAAATCTTCCTTAGATTAGGGGTTAGAAACTGCTTATATAACCTAATAGTATATATAACTGTAAAATGGCCACAAACCCTTAATTTTCCTTTCGTGTGCCATCTCATTAGAAGGGAAATGTGTTTGTCTTGAATGAGAACTTTTTACATGTGTTGCTTGTTTATGAAATCAACTTTGAGTATAATTTACATACATTATACCTCACACATTTCGTGTGTACATACCAGTGACTTTTGACAAATATATGTATCTGTATAATCAGACATGTACAGATTTTACAAGCTGCATTAGATCAGAGATTATGTGTTACAATTAAATAAATCTTGATTCTAAAAACAACATGTGTTTTGGGATTCTTATATCATTCTCTTTTATATACAAATATATCAATAGACTGTACAGATACCCAATTCAGAAACTTAAAATATTTTGCTTCTTCTGACTTAGAGGCATCAAAAATGGAAAATACTTTAAACAGTTTACTATATTCAATTTTAAGCATTACATTTCAAGAAAAATCTACAAGCTAGAAAACAAGTAGAGTAAGGGTCTAGAAATGAAAAGCCTAGAAATCATATTCTAGGAATACATTAGAGAATCAAGGAATTTTATGAGAAGAAAATATGGTGAAGTGGGTAGAGTGAGGAAGGATAAGTTGGTCTCAAAGGCTGAAAAACTTTTACATGGAAAAGAGATACAACTTGTTTAGCAAATGGCTCCAGGGAGCACAAGTATCAGAATGAAATTATTAGAGGGCAGAATTTACTTTACATGAGGAAGAACTTCTAAGAATTAGAGCCCCAAATGCCATGGTTGAAGTATGAAGCATCCCTGCACTGTAATTGTTCGAAAAGAAGCAAAGATCATCTATTTGAGAAGTTGGGGCAAGAGGAGATTAGTTGACCTCTTAAGTCTTTTTCAGTTCCAATTCTGAGATTCTGTGATCTAGGAACCTCTTATAATTTAAAGCCAGGTGTCAAGGAAACCATAATTCAAAAATGTACAACCCCCAAATTATAGTTTGATAAAGAACAAAGGACCAACCCTAGCCGAACCATAAGCAGAAACAGGATTGCTCCTGCATATACAACACACACACACACACACACCCCACTCTTACATCCAACCTTCCCATAATTCCTGGGGAAAAATAAGTTGGAAAAATAGTAATAGAAAATCTATCCTATCTTTTCCATCCAATTTTACTTTACATTCCCTAATCTATGTTATTACTATCACTGGCTACCTGATTATACAGAATAAAGCCTTAATGTTTCTTCTTTGACTTTTCCATCTTCCTCCAATTTCTACCTCTGGCCCCAGAAATACCTCTTAATTGTCATTTACTTTTATACAGTAGTCCTCCCTTGTCCATGGCAAATATGTTGCAAGACCCCCGGTGGATATATGAAAGTGCAGATAGTACTGAACCCTATATATACTGTGTTTTTTCCTATACATGCACACACTTTACAGCTTTCCTTTGGCATATTCGAACTGCCAGAATCACTACTCTTGCACTTTGTGGCCATTATTAAGTAAAATAAGGGTTACTTGAACATAAGCATTGCAGTACTGTGACATTCTATCTGATAAACTAAGATGGATGTTTAGTGACTAAGGGCAGGAGCGTTTACAGCATGGATGCTATATGGTCAAAGGGATGATTCATGTCTTGGGCTAGACAGAGCAGGCCAGTGTCAGATTTCACCATGCTACAGAATGATGTGCAACTTAAAAGTTAAGAATTATTTCTGGAATTTTCCATTTCATATTTTCAGACTATGCACGTAGAAAGCAAAAGTGTGGAAAGCCAAACTGCAGACAGGGACTACTATACTTGTATTGCCATTGCTCTTGGTGAAACTCTTGCAACTGATTCCTAACTAGTCATTCTGCCTATAATCACCCCCTCTCCAAGGCCATTATTCACACTGCTAACAGTGATCTTTCTGAAGCACAGACTGGATGAATCATACCACTCTGATATGCTAAAAAAAATCTGTATTGGCTCCTACAAAGTAAAGTTCAAATTCTTTGGTATGGCCTTCAATGCTATCTGAATCTCACCCTAACCCTCCTTGCTTTGTTTGTCCATGGTACCTTATGCTTTGATTACACTGAAGGACTTTTCTTTCCTGAAATGTAATGTACTCTATGTCTTTGTTCAACTGTTTTCAAATGCACCCCCTCACTCCACCTGTGGACACTTTACTCAATTTTTCAAGGCTCAAGCAAATGCTACCTATTTTGTGACACTATCCTAAATGCTTCTACCTCTTAACTCCTGCCTCTCTCCCCTAGAATTAAATACTTCTTCTTGGAACTTACCATTCTTGGAGCTTATAGTAATTCTTAGCATACCTTATTTTTGCATTTAACAGTTATGCTTGAAATTTCAGTTTTGGGGGAAGTTTATCTCTACCCTTTGCAAATCCTTGACGGCAGAGAGCAGGCTTCATTTATTTCTATATCAACCTTGTCAGACCCCAATGCCAAGGATCTAATACAGTACCTTTTATACAACAAGTGCTTAATAAATGTTCATTGAGCTGATCTGGAATTTGAGAACAGTTAGACTTCTATCCATGACCAAACAGCAGTCTTAAAAATTATAACTTCTATTAAAATTCTAAAAAAAAGTCTAGTGATTGATAAAAGCCTTTTAGCTATTAATCTAACATATCTGAACCAAAAACAGATGAATACTTACATTCACTAGGAGAGAGAATTCTGTGACCAGTTGGCTAAGTTGAATTAAGTCCTTAAAAAGAGAGAGAGAAAGAGGAAGTTACTTATTTTTATGCCTCACAGTTACCAAAAGGAATAAAATTAACATACCGCTTCTAAGATTTCCCATGATTCTGCAGCATCTTGATCTTGAGGAATTTCAGGCAATGCATATATCTGAGTCATACTCTGAGGAACAGCTTCATCTTCAGTAGGATGAAATGCTCCTGGATGAACAAAGTCTCATGTTTAGAGTTTATCTGCCTTGTTAGAACGGTGATAGCATGAAGCAACTCCATAAAACAACTGTCATGTAAAATGTTTACTAATTAAATTCAGGCTGAAAGTAAATTGATTATAAAAACAGATTTATCTATAGGTAGATTGTTCCCTTATATTTTTTTAATTATTTTACAAAGTCAAGAAAAAAAGGCTACAAATACTATCTACCCACTCTGAATGAGTAGGGGTAGATGTGGAAGACACACCAAAGAAAAACTATTCTATTTGGTCAATGCTCCATGAAGAAGTACCCAGGTTTACACTTTTCCTTGCTAAATCATTAACTTTTTTCTTTGGCTATTCTAGTAATAAATATCAGATTCTGAAGCTGTTAAAAGTAGGAAAGTGATAGGATTTTAACAATGAAAATCAGTCATTTTTGGTAACAAATGTGTCATCATCACCCAGCTGGTATGGCTCAGTGGTTGAGTGTCGACCAATGCCCCAAGAGGTCGCTGGTTTGACTCCCGGGCCGGGCACATGCCCAGGTCGTGGGCCAAATCCCTAGTGTGAGGCATGCAGAAGGTGGCCAACTATTGTTCTCTCTCATCAATGTTTCTATCTCTCCCTCTTTCTTCCTTCCTCTCTCTCTAAAATCAATAAAGAAAAAAAAAAAGAGTATGGGTTTTGTCAAAAAGACCTGGATAAGAATCCTAGTTTGGCTATTTACTAGCTCTTTTACTTGGGGAAGATATTTCATTCTCTGACTTATTTTCCTCATTTATAAAATGATACTTTGCACTGTGCCTGACTTATATATCAAGTATAAGTGGTTAATAGTTACTACTACTGCCATTGCTGCTATTATTATTATTATTATTATTATTATTTTGTCTTTATTGTTGAGAGTATTACAGATGTCCCCTAATGGAGCTTACCATATAATATGTGATACAGACATGTTAACAGGCAAGTTCAGTATAGCCTGATAATAACTGTGATATAGGTAAGTATAGAATGCTATGTGAGCAGAGAAGAGAGATAGTTAACCTAGATTTGTGGAGGAGAGAGTGGTCCGAGAAAGTTCTGAAGCTAAAGCCTGAGGGTGAACAGAAATTACATAATTGAAATGGGACAAGAGTGAAGAGAGACGTAGAAGGTAATCAGGTCAGGGAGAATAGTATGTGCATAGGTTTGGGAACAGAAAGGAGTCAGTATAGCTCAAGTATACGCTAAAAAAAGCAAAAGGTGCCCTGGCCGGTTTGGCTCAGCGGTTAGAGTATTGGCCTGCGGTCCAGAGAGACCCAGGTTCGGTTCCCGCTAGCGGGGAGAGCCTCGGTTGCAGTTTATCCCAGCCCTGGTTGGTCTCGTGGGTGACAGCCACTTGATGTGTCCCTTTCATGTCGATGTTTCTCTCTCTCTCTCTTCCTCTCTCTCCCTCCCACTCTATCTGAACAAAAAATGGAAAAATGTCCTCGGGTGAGGATAAAACAAATAAATAAATAAAGCAAAGGTTGAGGTTGGAAATCAAGGGTAACATTATTTGTGCATTGTAAACTATGTTCAAGACTTTTGTCATTCTCATAAGATCAATAGGAAACTATGAAAAGGAATAGGAGACTATTGAAATGTTGGAGGGTACCATACCAGATTTCAAATTTATAAAGGAAACCATAGCTGTGGTGCGAAGAATAGACTAAAGATGGAGTCAAAAGGTATAAAAAATTAGAAGTAAAATACCAGTTGGAAGTCTTTTGAATATGTCCGGTGCAAAATGATGATGATCTGCTCTAGAATAGTGGCAGTGGAAATGTAAAGAAGACATCTGAAGGTCTACTTTCCTTTGGTCCACCTTATTTCAAGCTTAAAACAACCTCTATCACTTCAATATTTTCTGAATATTCATTAAGTATTGTTTTGGGTACCCGGGATGAAAAAGTAATACAAAGTAGTTGCTCTCAAGAAACATATATTCTAGAAGACTTAGACATACAAAGAAACAATCCTGAAACAGTAAGAGAGTTCATTAATATCTAAGTAAATAAATACAGATACACATAGTACTTTGTGGGCATTCCAAGCTGGGGTGGCATCTGACCCAGCTTGATGTGGTATGCAGTTTATGGGACAGCTTCCTAAAAAAGATGATCGTACTAGGCAAAGAAGATAATAGAAATCTAGGTAGCGAGACCAGCAAGAAAAAGGCCCTCAATGAAGACAGAATATAGCTTAACATAAAACCAGCAGTTTGGTCTTGCCAAAGCATAATGTAAAAGCCATAAAGTTACAAGTATAAGACATTATAGATGGTCAGAAGGGGCCTTGCAGTCTAGTTAAAGACTTTGGACTTTAATTGGTAGACAGTGGAGAGCTACAGAAGGGTTTTAAGCAGGGAAATGACAGTGACATGTGACACCTGATCTAATTCTAAAAGTAAGTCATTATAACACTAAGTCCAACTTCTCTCTCAATTTCCTTTCCATACTAGCCTATAACAATGGCATTTTATAAAACTGCACTCACTACTAGTTTACTTTCATAATTTATGAATGTTTTACCTCTCAAGAAAAATAAACCTGTTCAAATTGTTTAGGAAAGGTGTAGTCAGTCAACTAAAAAGTAATTTGTAGGTTTATCAGAACTATGTTCTTTTAATTATGAATCTTATTTGAATATATTTCCTTATCTTAAAGGAAGAGCAAAAACATGAGATACAGAGTAAATTTTATATTACAACATTATGGCAAGTATCCAATATTTTAAAAGCTCTCTATGATCTTTACAAATGCTTAAGAGTTATTTATCCCATGACCTAACATCACACAGAGACACTTTCATGTTAACTTCAATCAAGATAAATAAAACACTTTAAGACCTTTCTTCCACTTAATATTCCTATTGTAAGAACTCCAACTTCTTTAGTTGATGAATAATGATAACTTTATTATTAACAAACCAAATGTAAAACATAACTTCATAAACACAACACGCATTCTAAATATTTTTAAGGCATAATCTTTATATTATTAGAGAGGATTCAAATAAATTATGAAATAAGGAGAAATTATCATACGTAAATTCTTGATCTAAAAATGAAGGGATGGGAAATGGTGGACATTTTAGACAAATATTAAAGATGTCCCTCACTAAAATTTAAGAAATGTTTAAATCTTTTACATCTCACTTGAAACCAAAGTATATATGCATCTTAGTTAAAATGAAGTCTTAGAACAAAGAAATCTGTTCTCTTCCTGCTGTAAACTTACAAAGCTGAACATCACTAATCAATAAAAGGCATGACTAATAATTAAGAAAGGAAACCCTTTAATTTCTACAACTTCCATAACTCATTTATTCTAGCTTGTATTAAAAATCTATACCTCACTGGTCACCTGCTGACTTTGAACTTTTACAAATTGCTATAGATATGAGGAAGCAAAACAAGGAGACAGATTCTAACTGCAGGAAAGAAGGCTAAAGAACTCTTATTCTGTCCATAGAAGTCAAAATTGCTATTGCTTTATGTGATATAATAATCTCAGCTAGTTCTATTTACATGCACAGACAAGTGTAAAGGGCATAAAATATATCACTCACCAACTGTTTTTCAAGCTCCAGTTTTAAATCTTATTATTGACTATAAACTCAAATAAACATTAAGACATACTTCGTTGAAGTGAGAAGTGAGCTTAATAACATAGACATAAGGCTTTTCCCTTCTCTCTCTCTGTCTATACACCCATTCATTCACTAATTTATTCATATTCATTCTCCCCTTCTCCCCACAATGCTCCTCTTCTTTCTTTCTTCATGCTTCATGAAGGACAGTGACTCTAAGAATTATAAAACAATATATAAAAGTTTCCGCTAGCTCTTTGGTCTCAGTCACAGAAGCGAGATGAGGAAGGGAATGTCATCATTCAGCAAGTGCACAAGATGCACACGCTGTGCCACGCTGTGGTTCGAACTGCCTCCTCCCTTCACAAGTCCACCTGGAACAAGTGCAGATACCCTGCCAAGCGGAAGAGGAAGTATAACTGGAAGTGACCTGGCTAAACGACCAAACACCACCAGCAGAATGGGTCACATGAGACAACCTAAAAGTGTATACCCCAGATTCAGGCATGGATTCCATGAAGGAACAACCCCGAAACCTAAGCAGGCAGCTGCTGCAGCAGTCAGTTCATCTTAAGAAATCCAATGATTAGTTATGTAATAAATGTTCTGGTTAAAAAAATTTTTTTTCCACTGAACTTTACTATATTAGAAAAAGTGTCATTATGAATCTAAATTAATTGAAAAACATTTCCTGAATTTTTTCATGTTCTGACAGCTTAAAAATTGTGAAATTAATTTACTGATCATCTTACATAAACCTATCTATCAAAATAAAATGACTTCTAAGTCATGGATTAACTTAGCTGCAAAGAAGGATTTAAAAAAAATTAAAACCAATCAAAAACACATCTTCTGAATAATATACAAATACCATTTACATGTTTTACAAAATGGTTAAGCAGTGCATGCATATACCTGTGATAAAATCTAATATTTCATCAAATTCAATATGCTGGTCTGAATTTCCCACAAATTTTAAGATTGAATTCTTCTCTTTTGTGAATATTTGTTTAAAATGTATTAAGATTCTGTCCCTATTGTGCTGGTGACGTTGTGTGCTGGATGGGAGTAAGAAAGACAAAGATGGAGAGAAATGATGATTCACTCTGTAGAACTTGGTACACCTTTCTAAATACAATTCAAATCTGTAGGCTCATCACTTCTCTTGGTGGGAGCAATATGCTAAAAATGAAACTAGACACACAAGTGAGACAGAAGGGAGTTTCTCAAATCAAGTAAGACTGGCAGAGATTTGCTTTAGGAATTCTCAGAAGCTGGACAAAAGAACAGAAAAATCTTCACACATTTTCCCTAAACTTAATAAGCTTCTTTCATTCTCCAGAGAACATAAAATGCCCTATTTTACTTGTTATTTCTATCTGTAAATGAAAAACTATTTTTGTATTTTGATCTCACTCATGGAAATGTGGCAACATTGCTCCTGAATCTCTGCTGATGTTTCCAGCCAATTTACTTAGAATCAGATTGAACTTTTAAAGGAAAATGTATTTTAAGGCACTTAACTTCTATGCAAATCAAACACATTTTTTTCTGTATAGCCTGTCACTACTGTAATGAGTATCTACAGTAAAAATAAAGAAAAACCAAAGAACACTGGATAAAAACATGTAGAATGACAGAAAAGATTCTACAGTTAGAGAAGACCACATATGGAACAAATCCAATTCCTAACCCACTACTAGCGTTTTACATAAATTAGTGTTTTATTTTCATATTCTTCTCCCATTCTCAATTATTTTTTAAATAATATTTCTGGCCCTGGCCGGTTTGGTTCAGCAGTTACAGCACTGGCCCACAGACCTAAGGGTCTGGGTTCAATTTCAGTCAAGGGCATGTGCCTGGGTTGCAGGTTTGATCCCTGGCCCTGTTCAGGGTCATGCGGGAGGCAACCAATTGATGTGTCTCTCTCACATGGATGTTTGTTTCTCTCTCTCTCTCCTTTCCACTCCAAAGAGCAATGGAAAAAAATCCTCTGGTGAGGACTAACTAACTAACTAACTAAATAAATAAATAAAAACAATAATACTAATATTTCTGGATTTAAGGCAACCTAGAAGAAACTCTGATACTTGGTGAGACAGTTACTTTGCACTGTTTAATGATGGCAATGGATTCAAAGTGCAATATGACTTGCAGACCATTAAGAATCTGAAATTCTAACATTGTTTAAGGTATAACTTAGACATTTGATGTTATAAATGGAATAGATTATCTTATTCAAACCAGAATTGATTGTGTTGATTTAATTCTGTAGTTTCTCCCAGTGTTAAAGTGATTACATCTTAGGACGATTTAGTGTTTCATGAACGGAGAAGTTTGAGAATCAATAGAGTTGGAAAATAAATTGTATCTGTTATTTCTTCTCCCTCATCCTCTGGTTCTGCGCCAGTCTTTTTTACTTCCTCTGTATACACGATTCTCAAATTTTGCCAACATTTCTTTTTATACTAGTCAGCTTCCTCCAGAGAAAGTTTATTGCTAACAAACAGGGTAAACTGCCTTCTAATAATCACCCCATTCCTCTGATGATATATAAACCCACGCTTGTTGAGTCCAAACAGCCCTACTATTAGAGACACAAATAATGCAATAAAGTAAAAATAAAAGCAAATATTAGAATAGTATTGTATTGTATTGTAAGAAAACTCTCAGATAGAATTGAAATATTTTGGGTGCTGGTGATGGGCAATTTAAAGCTAAACAGCAAAAGAGATTGATGCCAGCAATGCTTTCCAGAAAAACCAGCATATTTTCACTGTTATTACTGCCATCACACCTGTCAAAATGTCTGGGTGAATAAGATGGCCCCTTAATCACACAGAACTATAAAGCCCAGTTTCTCTACACATGCACATAAAGTATCAGTTCATAATAAATGATAGGAATAGCATAAAGCCCTATCAATATGGTATTGATAATGATATATGAACAGAATAATGCAAACAGTAACCACCAACTATCAAAAAGCATTCTTCCCAAATACCCTTCTCTGCAAAACAATACTTTTAGATACTGGTTATACACTGAGTGACATGATTATAGCATATATGAAATTATAAAACTGTCTCTAAAAAGATACTTACTCATTCATATTTATAAAACATTTATTAATGGTCTACTATGTGCCAAGCACTATGTACTATGTGCTATATACTTACTATGTGTTAGGTACTAAGGATACAATAAAAGCAAGATTACCCAGAAGCTCAGGATGATGAACTAAATGTTCCTATTTCTCTGTAAATTACTAGATCATTAGCACTGAAAATAAAAGGCTAAAAATAATTAGGAGTCTCCTACATAAATGAAAAGAGGAAAACTGGGCAGGGTAGTATCTCTTGTAATTTATGTATACCCCTCTTTTTCCATAAAGATTTAGGGCAGCTTAGAACATACATAAAATGTAACAAGATGGCTTAAATTAAAAATTAAAAAGAAACTCAAACACAAAAAGAGGGCAGCAATTATAAAATAAAACCAGGATAGTTTAAAAAATTGGCTTTTAGTAGAGAAACTTTATCAATGTTGCCATTTAATAACCAAAAAAGAAAAAAAAAAAGACCATTTGCTTTGAAATACTACTATGAATTTTTTTCAGGATTCTTTATAAAGACATTACTAAAATACAATCAATAATTATCAATTACATCCTTAATAGAGATATAATGAGAAGTTTCACTGGGTTGTTTCTTGAAGTCTCACTTCATAGAAGTTGATAGCATAACCTCCAATGCAGATTTTTTTTTTTATGCTGTCAGTTAAATTCAGAAAACTGAGCTTGGAGATAGCTCTAACATCCCCTGTGAAAATCAGAATGCCTAAGAAAGAAACATGACTGACTAGGCCACCCTTGCAGTTGGTGATGAGGGAAGAGTACTCTGTAGACAAAAATGAGACTGTTTGTAGGAAATACTGTAAAATTAATTTTCAACATGTAGACAAATAGGTACTTAAAGCCCTGAAATTCCACTTTATGCACATAGCCTCAAAATTTTTATCCTGCAAAACTTCTCGGATATGCATTTCCAGGCACACTCAATATACTGCAATAGGAGGCAATCCCTGAAGACATATGGTGAAGTTTAATTAACTGCAATACTATGATCAAGAATAAGACTATACATTACCACCAACAGTCATAGATCTGGTCAAAGAAGGATGTAATAAAGTTTCTTCATCATTAAATTGTTTCTCAAGTTCTTCTACAGATTTCAGATGGAGTTGAAGAAATTCTGCTGTTGCTGCTGATGCTGCTTCTTTAACAGGATCTATCATTCTCTTCAGCAGTGCTAGGTCACTCTTCTGGACTTTCAAACAAAGCTTCTCCATTTCTCGAATATTGGAGCGGAGTTGCTATAAAAGAAAAAAAAATCATTAAAGCCCAGCCAGTGTGGCTCGGTGGTTGAGCATCAACCCATGCACCAAGAGGTCACTGGTTCGATTCCTGGTCAAGGCACATGCCCAAATTGTGGGCTCAATCCCAAGTGGGGGGCATGCAGGAGGCGGCAAACTGATGTTCTCTTTCATCGATGTTTCTCTCTCTCTCTCTCTCCTTCTCCCTTCCTCTCTAAAAATCAATAAAGAAAAAAAAATCATTAAAACCACCATATATCTCAGTATAAAATATCTTTATTTTCAGAGGTAATGTGTGCTGATGCTTCTTCTTTAACAGGATCTATCATTCTCTTCAGCAGTGCTATGAATGAAGATTATTACAACAGAAGGTATGCATAATACTTTTCTATTTTTCTATGTTTCTTGTCTCTGGCTAAAACCAGCTTCTTTAGAAATTAACATCCTCATACTTTAAATTTATTTAGCATTTTTCCTTCATTAAATATGATTGTTACAAAGGTAACAAATGTTCTTTATAATATATCAAATACGGCAGAAACATATCAAGGAAAATTTATTGGTTTCCCTATTTCTCATTGCTCAAGCAAACACTGACATACACGGCCATTTTTTAAACAAAAAATTGATTACATTATACACAATAATCTATACTTTGTCATTCCCCACCTCAACTAAATATCATCACGGATATCCCTCCTGGTCAATGGTTGTACCATATTCCATAATATGGGTGGAATATAATTTATTCAAACACTCCAGTGATCAACTGTCCTTCATGTTGTTTCCAGTTTTTAGTTATTACAAACTATGAAAAAATATTATTGAATATAAATCCTAATATACTATAACAGTATATATTAGTATTATAGTAAGTAATATTATACTATATTTTATAGAAATTATTCCCAAAAGTGAGAGTACCACTCAAGGGATAATGTGCATTTTTATGTCAATAGCTATTATCAACTTTTCCCCCAAACAGCTGTAACAATTCATACCACCACCAAAATATGAGTACCCATTTTCCCACATATGACAGCACTACATCATCTCATTGTTTTTTCACTTTGCATTTCTCACTGAGTGAAGTTCCTGGATTTTTTTTCCACATCATTTTCCCTTCTTTTAAAAAACATATATCGGTATAATCATAAATTTTCCTCTAATGTGCTAATATAATGAATTATGAGCAAGTTTTATGAATAGAGCCATCTTTATATTTCTGAAATAAATGCGTCCTCGTGTGTATGTGTGTGTGTGTGTGTATGTGTGTGGGTGTGTGTACTCTTTTAATACACTGTTAAATTCAATTTGCTAATCTTTTATTTGAAATTTTAGTAAATGTATATATACATATGCACATGTGAACAGTGTCTGTCTATAGTATCTTTACTAGGTTTCAACTCACTTTAACAGGTTTAAGGTGTGCTAACTTCATAAAATGGGGAGCTTTCCATTTTTTTCAATGGTCTATACTTTGAAAAACATAAAAACCAACTATTCTTTGATAAATAGAATTAACTTGCAAGAATGATCTCAGTATGATGATTTAAAAACTATAGATCTCTATTCATATAATATTTTAAATTATTTTCCCCTAATGCATTTTCAAAGATACTAATGCAAATTCTATATAGTAGACAGAAAAAAAAGTGTTAATTTCTTTAATTTCTCAAGTACATACTCTGAGTGAGGTGTTACATTCCATATTATTACATTCCACATTATTACATATAGAGAAAAATTTTAAAGTAGTTCAGAATTTACTTAATTATGTGATGCAAAGCTGGGATTAAAATCCAATTATTCTTATAAATCCAGCCATCTTTCTATTAAACTATAAACATAATCCCTATCTATATGGTACCTTAATACAATCTAAAATCTCCATTTTATTCTAGTAAAATTAAAACTAATTCTAGAAATAATAGTTTATCTATAACCTAAAGCATCTTGCAAGATTTTCTGGGTGAATCAAAAACTTGTGCCTATAATACATTCAACAATAAAGATAAGAAAAAAACTTGTGCCTCTATCCTGGTCAATGGTTGTAACATATTCCATAATATGGATGGAATATAATTTATTCAAACACTCCAGTGATCAACTGTCCTTCATGTTGTTTCCAGTTTTTAGTTACTACAAACTATGAAACAAATATTCTTGAATATAAATTCTAATATACTATAACAGTATATATTAGTATACTGTTTACTTCCTTTAACCTTATGCCCACTCATACTATTCCAATGTGAGCTGGAAAATCTAAAGATAACCGGACTGTAGACTAATGCAAGCATTAATATGTAAAAATCATAGAACCTTAAGAAGCCTATGTGCTCACCTAATCCAATTCCATATTTTACAATAAGGAAACTGGAGTCCAGATGAACCTAGTGGCAGAATTAGAACTACAGCCCAGTTCTCAAACCCTGAAACAATACTATTTCCAACACACCACTGTATCTTGGCTGTGTGATTCCATTCAGGAGTACAGTTGTAAAGTTTGGTTATATAGTTCCCACATAATCCAGAGAGATATTATAGGCAACCCTGTCTTGGAGAAGCATTAAAAAATCTCTGTAGCTAATGAGCATTTGCCTGTGACATATTCTTCCTTTCTTTTTTTTTTTGATACGTGCCCCTAGCGGGAACCGAACCCGGGACTCTCTGGTCCACAGGCCAATGCTCCAACCACTGAGTCAAACTGGCCAGGGCTATTCTTCCTTTCTTATAAAATTTTTACACGTTATGTCCCTAGTTAAATTATAGTGTCCAGTGAAAAACTTTATTACTATGGATAAAGGGGAAAATGTTAATGGAGAGAAAGAAAGTACCCACTAAACTATAAAATCTGATACTATACTAACAAAAACACAAGAATGGCTAAATTTTTATCAGTACTTACTGTAAGCTGTATATTGTACTAAGTGCTTTATCTTTTTTTGTTATATTTTACCCTCACAATTTATTTTTGAAGTAGATATTACTATTATTCTCATTTTACAAAAAAGAAAATTAAAGCAAAAATTTAAGGAAATAGCCCATAGTTACATTTCTAGTAAAAAGGAAAGCCAAGAATCAAATACAGGCTACAGAACATCTGTTCTCAACAACTTTACTATACAGGTACACTACCCAACAGAAAAAAAGAAAAAGAAAACCTCAAATGTAAACCATGTATGTAATTTTAAATTTTCTAATAGTCATATTAAAAAGGTAAAAAGAGCCCTGGCCGGTTTGGCTCAGCGGTTAGAGCGTTGGCCTGCGGTCCTGAGAGACCCGGGTTCGGTTCCCGCTAAGGGCATGTACCTCGGTTGCAGTTTGTCCCCGGCTCTGGTCAGTCGTGCGGGTGGCAGCCACTCGATGTGTTCCTTTCACATCGATGTTTCTCTCTCTCTCTGTTCCTCTCTCTCCCCCTCCTACTCTACCTGAACAAAAAATGGAAAAATGTCCTCGGATGAGGATAATAAAAAAAAAAAAAAAAAAAAAAAGGAGGAAAAAAAAGGTAAAAAGAAAATACAGATAAGATTAATTTTAATAATATGTTTTATTTAACCCAATACATCAAAAATATTATCATTTCAACATGTAAATAATATAAAAATTATTAATAAAATATTTTACATTTTTTTATTCATAGAATTAGAAATCTGGCATATATTTTATATTCACAGCACATTTTGATTCAAACTAGCCTCAATTTAAGTGATCAACAATTATATGTGGCTACCATATTGGATGGCACAACTATCGAGTCTCTTTAAGGCCAAATAAACGGAACAAGATGGTAAAACTATAAGTGAAGACTATAAAGTAGGGGTTTCTACTTCTGAGTATAGCAGACTAGATAATTCAAACTAATGACTACTTAAAAAGCTGAAAGCAAATCAAATCACAAAACAAACAAAAAAATTCAAAAGCATCAAAAAGATATGATAGTAAGAAATTTGTATCAAGAATTGGGCAAACATGGAAATCCAAAGAGGTGAGTCCTGAACTCAGGGCCACATTTGCTTAGGGGTATTTGCTTACCAGAGTGTTTGACAGCCTCAAAAATCTCAGGGTAAAACATTCGATATTAGGGCCTGCTAAGTATAAGAACTATGGCGCTTTGGGCTGGAATTATAAAGAGCGGCATACTAGGAACACAGGTGATCCTGAAATAAATCAGTCCTCATGTAAACTTCAGTTGGGCTTCCAGTTTTTTTGTGTACCTCATAAAAATCTTAACCCCTGAAATTGTATAAAGATAATTTTGGAAAGTTAGCATCCCAGGGGCTTAGAAGAAACAAATGAAAATCATCTCTGAAGGAAGCTATTATCCCTAGTTTCAAATAATTTCTATAAATAATTTCTCAAGCATTATATCCACTAATCCAAGATAATTCAGTACATGAGGACATATAAAGTGGTGGGGCAAAAATAGGTTTACAGTTTTTTGTATGGAAAGTAATAAAAGAATTAATAAATAATAATACAAGAATAAATTGTTTCATGTACTCACAACTGTAAACCTACTTTTAAACAACATAAAGGAACAGCAGCAACAATAATGCAACCAACTATTTAAATGTTATACTGAAAACCCCCAAATAAACCTTGAACAGTAAAAAGAAAAGGTAGTGCAACCCCAAGACCAAAATAAAGACCAGACAAAAATACCAGCACTATCTTATATGATTTCTTAAAGCAATGAAAGCCAGAAACCAGTAGAATGATATATTCAAAGTACAAAAAGAAAATCACTATCAGAGGCTAAAAGGGACTTTTAGAATGCTGGTAATTGTCTATTTCTTGATCTGAGTAGTGGTTACATGAGAGTTCACAGTATCATTTGTTTAGGTGTATATTTATGTTTTATGCATTTTATAGACATGTTACAGTTCACAGTAAAACATTTTAATAATATTTTTAGAAAACAGTGTTATACTAACTTGTATGGTCGATTAATCTAAGTTTGAAAGCATTTGGGTAGGAATAAATTGAGTAGCAAT